TTTGTAGCCCATACACAACCATAGACAGTTTCACTTGTGGGAGTCACTTCAGGTATTGCAGCAAATATATTGACCGTGTGTGTATCTAAACCAAAATGTGTTATCTTTTATGTTTTAACAGACATTTTGCAAAATCCATGTCGTGGATGAAACCTTTTTACTGCCCATCCCTAATGTTTACCATGATGCCATTATTGTATAGCATGTTAGCATTCTGACATCTGCAGACTTTGGTCATAAACCAAAGTATTGGAGTGATTGAAATGCCCACCTGATGATGGCGCTAGATCAAAAGTCACCATGATTATTGACATCTGTGACAAATGTCAAGCCTCTCCCTGCAACCTATCCCATATGTTCTTCTCCTGCCCATTAGTGTTTTCCTTTTGGCAGAAGTTTTTTCTTTTTTTCTCAAAAATACTCTCACTCACTGTGAAAGTCTGTCCCCATATTGCCATATTTGGGTGCCCAGAAGATTACAACAGATACAACTCGGGGCAATTGGATATTCTGGCATTTACTTCGTTATTGGCAAGACGACTTCTTCTTCACTGGAAATCCAAAAAAGCTCCTTATTCCTTTATTATTGGGCGGTGGTGGCGAAGTCCATAGGGACTTGGCTTGGCAACTGGAAGGTCACCAGTTCAAGTCCCGGCAAGACCAAGTGCTACCGAGGTGTCCCTGAGCAAGGCACCGTTCCCTACACTGCTCCCCGGGCGCCGTTCAAAATGGCAGCATACTGCTCCTAACACAGGATGGGTCAAATGCAGAGAAACAATTTCCCCACGGGGATTAATAAAGTATATCAAAATAAAAATAATCCTAAGTGGCGCAGCGATGTCATGTCTTTTCTAAAATTGGAGAAAATTAAGTATTCATTAAGAGGCAGAACCTCTATGTTTTACACTAAGTGGCAACCCTTCTTAAGCTTCTTCCAATCTCTCGCATTTTTGGCTACTGAATGATGGACACCCCCCCTTCCTCTTTATTATGTATTTATGTTAATTTGTTGTCTTTGTATTGTTTTAGTATTATTATTTAGATTTTATTATCTTGTTTAGTTCTGTTAGTCGGTACACTACTCCCTTATATTTTGGCTATCTGGTCTGTTTGAGTTATGAAGGTGGCTTAAATACTGTATGCCTTCAAGAGAAAATGAACCATGTATGGCTTGTCAATTGATGCACAATAGTAGAGACTAAATGGTTACTAGTAACTGTGGTCCCTGTCAATGTACCAAATGTCTTTTATATGTGTCTTCAATCAAAATATATAAAACATTTATTTATTTATTTTAAAAGTCACCATGATACACTTTGAGGCAGGGGTATCAAACATACGGCCCACGGTCCAAAACCAGCCCGCAAAGGGTCCAATCCGGATGAGACATTAACTGCAATTTTCACAACTTTAATATATTTTGTATGTATACATTTATACATTTACAAAGGCAGGGGATTACTGAACCTAACCTCATAGTTCCCACTTTAGTGAGTATGGAGATGTGGAGATCAATGTCAAATAATTAGATCTGTAAAAAGAGAGTTCATTAAATGTGAACATTGTCAGAATGTTCTTTTTTTGCACAAAAACCAAGGGAACAATTAGGAGTTAGCGTTATTTATAGGTTATTATGCTATGATTTTGTATTGGTCCCGCCCACTTGCGATCCAATTTGGCTGCATGTGGCCCCTGAATGGAAATGATTTAAGACACCCCTGCTCTAGGCGAACATGATGAAGGTGATCCGGGGTGACATTTGAAATGTTATATAAAAAAGCAAGTACTTTAGGACATGTATAGAGTTCAATGACCTGTGTGGTTGCTAAAGTTGCACAAGAGAGGGAGGAAGAGGGAGGCTGAATAAAATAGTTGCCAATTTGTTTGCTGTGTGCTGGAACTGTACTAGACTTCTTTCTGAAGCGCCTGACAAGCAGGTGAGATCAAAGTCATGAGGACAAAAGAGGCTCAGCAGCGATTTGTCAGGAGACGAGAGGCAGCGGCTGGTTCAGCCCTCTGATCACCGCCTCACCAAAGAAATCTGTCCCTGAGAAAAGTACAGCAGAAAGGGTTCAAAGGTCATTTTGATTTACTCTGGATTACTGGTACCTCCTTTTCCCTCCGCTAAAGGGGAGCCAAGAAAAGGACCTGGCTAATAACCTTTGTATTATTGCAGAAAAGAAACCCTTTTGTGCCAAGAGGGTATTTGGGGTGGAGGTGGGGGGAGAATTTTGGGGAGGTCAATTAAAAAAGGAGCCCTGAAATTCTTGCTTTTATTCATGTCTGGGGGAGAGGAAATGGGAAAGTTAAAATGTATGCTTTTGGGTTTTGTCTGAAAGCCCTTCATGTGGCTGGGCTTGGATTCATTTGTCAAGTGGATGATGGCAAGAGGAATGGTTTTAAATATGTTAGTTGGGTAAATAAACCAGAATTGGCCGTGCTTTTCGCTTGAAGGAAAGGCATTTGTCATTATCTTGTTTCTTCTAAACACAGGTGTGAATATTTCCAAAATGCATTGAGTGGGACCCGATCACTCCAGCCACAGTGGGAGGCGGTCAGGAATGCAAGTGTGCAGTGTAATGTGAACTGGAATGGCTCCCTGGCCACATTGAAGGACCAATTAGTCAACTTTGTATTGTGTAGATAGCAGAACAAAGCTCCCAAACAGTTGATTTGCCTCTGCCAAATATCTGGGACGGGTTCTGAAGCCTGTACCCGGGCCGGGCATCAAACAGCTGCTCACAGCCCTCTCTTCACTCCATGGCTGAGCACAAACGTGTTTCTTTCCTGTAAGCTGAGGTTGAAGTTTCTTTACATTGAAAAGGGAGCAGGGAAGTCCAATCCAAGTGATCTGTCAAGATGCCCTCTAGTGCTCTAACCCCAACCCGGCCCCATTAGAGGTCTTCGAGGGTCCACTTGGTTGTCAGTAATCTAGACCCAATGTGACTCTGGTTGGTCCAATTGGCTTTTGAAGGTTCTAGTTTCTCTGCCAGGTTTCAGGCCAACATGTTTAATCCTCGGGTGGATCCCAACAGAACATGCTAAGCTCTGACCACATGGTTACATCCATGCAAATATGTTTTGAATCAGTTTTATTCAAAGGTATTGTTGAAAGACAAAATATCTAATTGCTTCCATTTGTATCTATTGTAATTTTTCGAGCACCCAAATAGGATAGTGCGACTTTCAGCTGCTACTAATGTCTTTAAGGTAGACATTATTTAGTTTACAGCTGGTACAACCCAGGCCAGCATTTTGTCTCTCCAGTGAAAAGTAGACATCTGAAAGCATGGAAACACAGTGAGATGCCACTCACTGCTGAAACAACACAGATTGGACTTTTCCACTAATATTTGCTCAAATGCAGCTGCTTATAAGATCTGAGAGGCGTAAAGCTCAGATGCATCTCTGTCTCATTACCATTACTAGTTACTTCATTTCAAAAGTAACTCAGTCACTTTACTAGTTACTTTAAAAAAAAGTAATGCGTTACTGTGAAAAGTAACGTTTTAGTTACTTAAAAAATGTCTCCCATTAATGCCCTTATAGCCTTAATTTCAGTACTGTTATTGCATTGGAGAATAATACAATCTGTTGATCAACTTGACATGCATTATATGCAATCTGGATTGCATCGATATTAGCTGGCTTTCCATTTTTGTATATTCTTTCTCCAAGTAGTTGGAAAAAGTTTTCCGTCCCATATGCCGTGTGCCGCCCGGACATGCTATCATGCTAACTAGCTCCCTGAAAGCGGGTGACTCCACTGTAGCAATAGCCTGCATATGTTCTACAACATACCGTGCAATGGCTTTATCGACTTTTCCCTGGCTAGCAGTCCCTTGGTTAAAATCCAGCCGCTGTTGCTTAGGTGGAGGTGGAGTGGCGTCGGCTGAGTCTCTGTGGTCTTAGCTACTAGCTTCGTCCCAGCATGTTGTTTTTGCAGATGTTTTAAGAGATTTGAATGACTGGTTTGGGCAGTAGATAGGATCTTTGACCCGCCAAGACACAACTTACATTTAACTAAAACGTTCTTTTCTTTGTGCTCGACAAAAGTGAAATAATGAGAATATCTCCAGGTGGAGAAACTAGACTTGAGCTCCGCCACATGATAGTCTTGTTAGTAAACAACACAAACACGCCCACAGCCCGTCTCCGCATGTGACACAGGAAGTATCTAAGTACATTTACTCAAGTACTGTACTTAAGTACAGTTCTCATCTCTGTTCGCCTGGCTGTTGACTATATAAAAACACTAACGCAGTAACGGAGTAACGCACCATGTAGTAACGGTACCTGAGTTACTGAATTAAAAAAGTAATGCGTTAGAGTACTAGTTATTGCCAAACATAACGGCGTTACAGTTAGTCCCAACACTGCTCATAACTGACATCTTAACCTTGAAAATTACTATCAACAACAATCTTATCCTGTGTGTGTGTGTGTGTGTGGTGTGTGTGTGTGTGTGTGTGTGTGTGTGTGTGTGTGTGTGTGTGTGTGTGTGTGTGTGTGTGTGATGTGTGTGTGTGTGTGTGTGTGTGTTGGTGTGTGTGGTGTGTGTGTGTGTGTGTGTGTGTGTGTGTGTGTGTGTGTGTGTGTGTGTGTGTGTGGTGTGTGCTTATCACACATTGAGAGCGTTGGCCCTGCTTATTGCTGGGATGCTTTGTGGGCGGCGTGGAGGGAGCGTAATTAAAATAGTTTCTGAGAGAAACAGCAAGCCACATCTGAGGTTCCTCCCTCTTCCAGCATTTAACCACATCAAGAGCGTCTCACTTAGAAACGGCCACCAGAAGAACCGCTGATACACACGGCCCGGACTCACGTTCTGGTGTGTCGTCTGGCGAGGGTCTTGCATGCATAATGTGCACACATTTGTAATTAAAAGAGAGCTGCTTGTTCTGATCATCGGGGTAAATAAAGTGACAGAGGCAGCTCGCTGGGTGATGTATGGGAGGGGAAGACAAATGAACCGTGGACTCTGGGGGATTCTCAGCCTTGCCTTCACAGCAGCAGTGGAGCAGCGCCAAAGGGCAGAGAGATTTGTAGATGATGGTGCTAATTACCAGAATGCAAACCATAATGCGACCAAGATGGAAGCAATTTAGGCAGTAGTCATTTAGCCTGCTGCTCTTCCGCCCACCGGCTGCTGCCTAGCCAGAGCCGGGGCATTAGGATGGGAAAAGTCTGGGACAAGCCATTGCTCGGCTGGAGGGTAACCAATGAACTCACAGAGAGGCGCTCTGTGGAGCTAGGAGGAACTCTGTGACAGGCCATTCATTTGTCTTTCCTTCTTAATCGAACTTCAACAGAAATGACTTTAAGCATTAGAGGGAAATGCTTACAGGTCAGGAGGAGGAAGGAGCATCGTAACACTGAAGGACAAAGGAGGCTGTGAACTGTTAACTGCTGAGAGGAGAGCTTGGGTTAGATTCTTAAGTCAACCAGCAGTGGAAGTGTGTCTCACCTCTGAAGAACGTTCAGAACCAAGGAGCTCTTATTCAAGGCAAATCAGAAATATTAGAGACATTGGCTGGAGACAGGAGAGGCCTCAGATTCTCCGGTCTGAATTAAAAAAAGAAACAATTCAGTTGAAAAAGTTGTAATGTGACTAGATAATAATATATATATAAATATATATATAAATATATAGGTTATTTTAAATGTTTGAGTTGGTTAATAATTGATCAGGACACCCAGGAACACGCATTGCTCAGCTGTGGCAGCTCGGGATCATTTGGGATGTGTAAGTGCTCTTTCAGGAGATTTCAGAAGAGGAGTTCAGAGAGAGCTGGTCCGCACTCAGTCACTGTGTAATTGTATCCACGCCGCAGTCTCTCACTTCACACAGGGCTGATACCTTTTGCCTCCCCCTTTCCTTTGTATCAATTGGTCGGAGTTCAGCCTATTGTCGCCACAAGCTTCTTTTATATCTGCGCTCAGTCTGCGCTCCGGCTCTCAGTCAGACCCGCAGGAGGTTCCATCAGCAGAGGACTGGAGGGCGGTGCTGTCAGCGGTGTGTCTCGGGCTTGGATGTGCGCAAGGCTGGAGCTCTGGAGCGTTGGGGCCCCGACACTTTAATGGGACCCCGAGAGCCGGATTGGAGTTCTACATTTTCCCCCCACAATCGTCGCTCCCCGGCCATGCCACGATGCTGATGATTTATCTGCTAGTGTTGCTGAGCCTGTTGGATCCCGTTACTCCCCGGGCCCGCTGCGCCCCGGGCCAGGCGTGCGACCCCCGGCCGCGGAGGGACGCCGGGGGTCGCGGAGGAGTGTACGAACACCTCGGAGGAGCCCCGAGGCGCAGAAAGCTCTACTGCGCGACCAAATATCATTTACAGATCAATGCCAACGGGAAGATAGACGGATCACTGGAGGAAAACAACCCGTTGAGTGAGTATGCTCTGCTTTACGCGCAGGGATATGCACTACCACACACAAATATACACTTATATATAAACAATATATTGTATCAGTGCTTTAATGAACATTATTCTTACAAATGTGAGGTCAACTTGTTAAATGAGAGTTGTTTTTTAAATGTAACACTTGTCAATTAGCCTACATTTATTATTAAGGTATGGCTACAATAAATATTTGCGCAAAAAGCCTATTATTCATTTGATTTCTATACATTTGTTTGTCAGTCTTTTTTTAGTAGTTTATGAAATGATTGATTTAGCATATATCAGTCCTCAGTGTAGCGCCTCAGTGTGTGTGTGTGTGTGTGTGTGTGTGTGTGTGTGTGTGTGTGTGTGTGTGTGTGTGTGTGTGTGTGTGTGTGTGTGTGTGTGTGTGTGTGTGTGTGTGTTGTGTGTGGTGTGTGTGTGTGTGTGTGTGTGTGTGTGTGTGTGTGTGTGTGTGTGTGTGTTGTGGTGTGTGTGTGAAATGTTATTGTTATTGTAAAGCTGCCGACATGAGGTTAATTACAAGTATCAGGCAAAGTATTAACATCCCCGGCGGGACAAAGGCGCTGTCCTAACGGATGTATTTATCTCATCAGCGCCCATTAGAGCTTTCCTCAGGCTGAATAGGTCACTGACTAATCAAGCACTGATTAAAAAAGACAATAAACAAACTGAATGGGGCGGCACGAGGTGGCAAACAACGGGAATTAATTCCTTTATTGGAAATGACAACAGTTTTGTGTTTGTTTGTTTTGGCTTCATTTGCTCTTTATAATTGATTTCCACCTTTCAAGGCTTATCAGTGGGTAATCATTAAAGCTACAGAGAACACAAATAATGATCTTTTAAATCATGATGAATTTACATACAGCATCCTGACTGTTTTCTGTGTGTTGCAGGCATCATGGAAATCACAGCAGTGGATGTGGGAGTCGTGGCCATAAAGGGCCTGTTCTCTGGCAGATATCTGGCCATGAATGATAAAGGGCGGCTGTATGCCTCGGTGAGTAGAAGTCATCATCCAGCCGGTCACCTTCTGTTCAAACAGCAACCAGGTTAGGGTCTCATTCTGAAAGAGAGAGTTGGTTACCTGCTGCACTGAAGAACAGTTGACTTTCATTACAAGTATTACTTCAACAGATGTCACATAACTGTATTAGGTTAGTTGGAAGCAATACTATTAAGTTGAACCTAATATTTGTATTATAACGCAACAGTATTGCTTTCAACTAAAACAGTTATTGAAGTTAACTGTCAGGTTGTGTCAGTGTGATGTTGACCTGCTGCATCTTGATCTATCGTACTGCCGCTTTCAGAACCAGCAGAAGTCCTTCAACCTAACAACTTCACATTGTTACAGCAAAACTGATGGAAGGTCAAAAAAGGCAAGCAAGGATAAAGACTAAGCTAACTTATGAAATATAGGGAAGACAAGCACATATAAGCCAAACAACAAAGAGTACACAGCCATGGCTAGAAGAGGAGTAGCAGCGATGTAAAGACTAAGTTAATAACATAACAGACATTATAAAACAAATTATAAGAATGTTTGGACATTTAGAGAGAATGTATGTTTTTCACATAAAAGTGATAATTGCAATGGTTATTATTATCATTATTTGTGTCCGACAGTAGCGGCAGATAATGTTGAGGGTGACACGTTGAGCTGAAACACTCGCTGTGTGAACTATAAAAACCGAAATGTTGGGTTTAATGAAATGTTTCAGATTTCACATAACTGTAGGTTATATAGTTGAAAGCAATAATATGACGTTTAATTAAAAGATATTAGGTTGACTTCATATAATTGCTTTCAACCAACCTAATAAGTTATGTGAGATCTGTTGACATGAGGTCACATGACGCATGTCGCTCACTGCTTCCTTCTTTCTCCTCTACCCAGGAAGTGTTCAACCAAGAGTGTGAGTTTGTGGAGCGGATCCATGAGTTGGGGTACAACACCTACGCCTCCCGCCACCACTCCACGGAGCAGCCTCTGGCCCCGGGGGGGGCAGCCGGCGGCGGGCCAGCGCCAAGCGGCAGTGGTACGTCTCCATCAACGGCAAGGGCCGGCCCGGAGAGGCTTCAAAGACCCGGAGCACGGACAAGGCCTCGCTCTTCCTGCCTCGGGTGCTAGGCAACAAGGACCATGAGATGGTAAGGCGTTTGAGGGACAGTCAGAGCGCACAGCATCACACGCATCACAACGGGCGCCGAGGGGAACGCCGGAGACGCAGACACCGGGCCAGGAAGGGCCGGGGCCGAGGGCCAGAGGACTGAGGGGCTGACTCAGCAACATGGACCCTGATGAGCAAAGACTGTCGCAGAGGAGGGGACGCGTTGGGATCCTGCCTGGATGAACAGATCTGTTGATGCACAGAGACAATGACATCATAGAAGAAGGATAGATAGTGTTGGGGCACACACTGAAAAGACTGAAACCGTGACTTTCATTAAACATGTCAACAGAATACACATAACTGAATTAGGTTAGTTGAAAGTAATTATATTAAGTTGAACCTAATGTTTTTTATTTAAACTTTCTATGAATGCTTTCATCTAATCTAATGCAATAATGGGACATTTGTTGACATTATACATTTAATGCATTCGTTTTTTCACTGCACATATATCAAATCTTCTAATCTCCTGTTCCCTGACAGCGCTACTGTCAGCCTGTAAACACGTGTTTATGTAGTTGAAACATTGTTACTTATAAAAGATTTGATTACACCATCACACGGAGAGAAGTCCTTATAGAAGGGGTTCTATTGTAAATACAGTATGCACTATGCATGTACAGTGACTTATAGCTTTTCATTTGTCAAAAGCTGTGATGACAAAACACGGTATATTAAACAATATTTTGCTCAATTTGAAGTGCAACAGATTGACGGATATTTAAGAGAGGACTTTAATCAGCAAAGCACTTTTGAATCAGATCCACATTAAGAAGCGGAGTAACCAGTCTGCTGTATTTTTTTTGTAACAATGTGATAGTCTACTGTCCGTAAAAGGAGAGATGTACTTTGTATATTTTTACTATGATATGAGTATTTATTTGGTGCCTGTGTTGTAAGTTATTGATAATACTATTAGTCTGCATTTCATCCAATGTCGCTGTTTGTTCATAGTTTCACCCCCCACCTGTTCCAACATAAAACACAATGGTACTGACCCGAGGAAACTACTGGTGCATTTGTTCTGACGTTTCTCTTTGACTTGTTCAGAAGGTTTCCCAGCCAGTTAGTCTTCACAGAACCTCAAACAGAATGACGTTTTGTGATTGTGTTTAAGTATAGAGATAAACGCAGCTCTTAAATCAGCTGTTGAATGTACGGTAATGTTCAGAGCGACTCCCTCACGTCTCATTGAAGTATGAGCTACCACCATGAATACAATGCTATGACATCACTTACCTAACCTTAACCTAACCTCAAAATCATTCAAACCTAACTTTACAATATTTCAATGCATCCATAATCCTTATTTTTTATTTTGAAACAATTCCTAAATCGCAGTGGTATTTATTTCCCTTTCTTTTTAGGTGTGGGAAATATTGTGTGTTGGTCATCTCTCGGTTACAGTTCATGTTTCTTTAGTTCTTTCAGCCGCAGCTCTTTGAACGCAGCACTGCCTCAAACACACAGTGGCACATTTTGTTATTTTACAAAAGTGCCAAACAGCAGGTCTCTCACCCAGACCCTCTCATTCACCGACTGCACCCGCCTGCTTCAAACGATGAGGCAATTTTCCCTTTGCCATTCAATTGAAAGTCAAATCAATGCTACTGTCAGTACGTTATAGATTGATCAAACCGTGGATTATTTGATAGCATCTTAAAAAGCATCCATGTAGTGTAGTAAATGCACTTGTGGGACATGTTTCCTCTAACTAAAACCGCCTGGTTAGCTGCTTATGACAACTCAGGGTGGCTCTGCGAGTTGTACGCGCCCCCCCCCCCCCCCCCTTTCTGTCCCTCTGTCTTTATTTATGACAGTATCCTTTGGCCTGCTGCAACTCATTTGTTTAGTTGCTGCAACCTGTTGCTGCCTCACAGCCGAAACACACACCGACAAAGACAACCATCGATGCAAAATTCATCATAAGCAGCGTTGTGACTCTTTTAGATGTTCAGGTTTAGCTTTGCCTCCGCTCCCATCTATAGGTAAGCTGCATATAAAGCCCTGTCATTCTATACCTGCGGCTGGGGAGGCTTCCTGCCCGGACAATGGCTCCTCCCAGGGGGGGCCTGGGAGAAAGCAATGCCGCCTGAGACTTTTGGGCCTTTTTTTGAAACACCACAGTGGATAAACAAGGCAGGCCCTCCTGAAAGCAGAAACTGTACAAAAGTATAACACCTTGCTATGGTTTGTTTAATGAATGCCAAACTCTAATATTACTCTCCAGGAATGCAGGACCTCAGAGAGGTTAGGCCCTTTGTGGCCCCCTCTCCCTGCATGCCTGTTACCCTTAGAAACAATTCTCTTCTGAATCTCAGTGTCCCGGGGTTAGGGGTTTTATCACATATTGCTAATCACATTGTTTCCGCCTGGCAGGAAATCAACATTCATCTGCCTATCTGCTGGACTGATGAGGGGAGGGATACGGATTCCTGAAAGAGCATTTTCATGTGAATCACATGTTCAATCACAGTAATTATATCAGCCTATCAGCACGCTGGGAATGAATGGGACACACTTCTGTCGTGTTCTTTAGTCAAACCATGTGTTGATATGAACACCTCATCAACATCCGAGAGCCTCTCTAATAAGATAACCGTTTATAGGTTCAAAAGGAGCCCAAAGAAAGACTTTGCCTTTATAGAAATATTATGAACCATTAATAAGATCACATTTTGGGATGCCAGGTTTTGAAAAAAAGCATTTGACTGCTAAGACTAAAGAGGAGTCTGGCCACCACATGTTTCTCTAATGTATTAAGCATTTTCTGTTTTGTTGAAACTTAATAAATATTAAAAATCCAAATCACAATGTTGCTATTATTTATAAGTTCTATAACTGCTCTAATAGGCATTCATTATAAACAGGGCTGCACATAACTGGTGCGCAGGTGCGCATGCGCACCTCCGCCAAAAAAAGAGCACCAGGGGGGTATACTACGAAGCAGGATTTTCGCTTAGCCGGCTAAATTCAGGGAAAACTCCGGCTTTCCGGTCCTACGAAGCTGGTTCTCTTCTTAGCGGCTAGATCTCCATGGTAATTTATGCTGTGCGGCTAACCTGGTCGGGACCAGGTTAGGTTGCAGGCTAAGAGCTCAACTCAGTGAAAGCACTGCCTGCTGACCAATCAGAGCTCAGTGTGCGGAGTTTAAAGCGATCAAGTCATATTACAAGAGAAAGGAAATACAGAAAAACTGCCGTCGCAGGAAAGACGGCCGGCAAAAATCACCGACTGTGTGAACGTGAACATTAATAGAATATCACCTCCATCTTCAGAGCAATCTGACTATTATAACATTAGCGTTAAGAAAGCTTACTTAAATATCTGCCACAACATAGGCCTAAGTAACCGGATCAGAGTAACATTAAGTACAGTCCGCGGCATATCACTTCATAATGTATCATATTTTCTTATCTGAATCAGCTGAGCCGTATCTGGCCGTGCAACACTCACAGTGTCACATACTGTATGCAGAAGTATTATTTTAAGCAACACATTAAGTTGACGAAACAACTCGAGACAAATGTTAATTAAAGTCAAATCGTGTTTTAGACGGGGCAGTGATATCATAAAACCCGTTAATGTACGCATTCAAACACTTTTTCTTTGCCAGCTGTATTCAAGACTATGTGGGCTTTTAGCCTGGATAAAGTGTTTAAGTCATGGATGTTTAAAGTTTTACTTCTTCATATGTCTAGTATTAAAGTTCACTTTCATTCAGGAAGTATGACGCTGCGCTGTCAGTACGCTTCTCGATGTTTTGTATGATTGGTCGAATGCTCCAAATACCACCCCCCTTTCATGTGAACGCGCACCTAACTAGATAGGAACACGGCTGGCTTGAGCGATCCACTTGATAACCCGCGTCGTAGTACAGTTTAGCGAGAGCGCGTATGTTTGGATTAGGCCAACCGGCTACTCAAACATATCCAGGTTAGGTTGAACTAGAATTCGTAGTATAGGCCCAGCTCATTTGAAACAAGCGCATTTGCGTACCAACATTGAGAGAGAGAGGGGAAGGGAGAAGAAAAAGAAAAGAGAAAATAGAGAGAGAGAGAGAGAGAGAGGAGGAGAGAGAGAGAGAGAGAGAGAGAGAGAGAGAGAGAGAGAGAGAGAGAGAGAGAGAGAGAGAGAGAGAGAGAGAGAGAGAGAGAGAGAGAGAGAGGAAGAGAGAGAGGAGAGAGAGAGAAATTAACCATGATATGAACTCAGGGCCGGCCCGTAGCACTGGCTAGATGTTCGCCTAGGGCGCCAGACCTGGGGAGGCGCTGCGCTGGCAGTTCTGGGAGGGAAAAAAACATTATGACCGTTGGGGCTCATCCTAATTTTCGGCCTTGATGTAACAATATTCATAATTAAGTAAATGTAACACCCTTTTCACCCCGGTTACACGTTTCATTTGCCCTGTAACGATGGGCGTCTGTAAGTGATGAAAATGGGGGGATGTTGGTTTATCTGGCGCCCGCAGCTCACAGCCAAAATGCGAGTGAGGGAGGGAGAGGGAGGGTGCACCGGTACCGGCGCTGTTGTTATTAGAATCTGGTGCCGTGCTAGCTGCTCTAACGGATATAAGAAGAAGATGTTTCTACAATAATGTGGAAGGAGAGTCCTCTCCAGTCAGACTGAGAGGCTGATAACTACAGCTCAGTGAGGTAAAGGACTCTTAGTCTAAGTTCAAACGGTTTGGTCACAATTTATGTAAACACATATTCCAAGGCACTCCTTTATAATTATTGGGATAAACAGGTTTTAAATCATTCCAATGTATACTATAGGACAGTAACCAAAAATATCCTTTAAAACTGGAGAGATAAAAAAAATGCATAAAAAAATAAATGTTAAGGTAAAATAAGATATAAACAACACAAATAAAATAAGTTACATTAATTTGTTATTGGCTATGGTAGGCTATTGGTTATGTTCACATACTTATTTGATTACATCCACTTGTCTAAGATGACAACAGAGACTTCCGACCCAAACCCAGCTGTTGACTTGTGGATGCAAGCAGCTAATCACAGACTCAACCAGAGAGAAAGTAGTAGGCCTACATCATCAGCTACCATGTCTGACAGAGAGGAAGACAGTGAGGAGAACAGTCAGGAGGGTAGTGATGACAGCTTGTAGGATTACTGGTCGTGCTAATGTTGTCTTGTGTTCACCTCTGCATGTGTGTTCTGTGTTCGCCTCTGCATGTGTGTTCTGTGTTCACCTCTGCATGTGTGTTCAGTGTTCACCTCTGCGATGTGTGTTTCAGTGTTCACCTCTGCATGTGTGTTCTGTGTTCACCTCTGCACGTGTGTTTAGTGTTCACCTCTGCAGTGTGTGTTCAGTGCCGTGTGTCTGGCAAATAAAGTCAAGACCCCCCTCAAAAGTTACGGTTTATTTCATTTTAAGGATGAGCACCAAGCAACATCTCCAGGTGCTCCTTTGAGAACCAGGGCAAAAAAGTTATGTGCACCCCTGGTTATAAACCATTATGAACCTGTTATTTACAACTTATTAATCCTTTGAAAATAGTGCTTTAAAAAGGTATTACTTTTCTTCAGAGATGGCAAAAGTACACACATCCTTTACTCAAGTAGAAGTACAGATACTCGTGTTTAAGAAGTACTGACTAAACTTCCTTACTCAAGTAAAAGTAAAGAAGTATGGGCTTCGAAATGTACTTGAGTAAAAAGTACCCATAGTTTTGTGTCCTTGGGGAAGACACTTCACCCTCATGTTCTATATTCACTGTTCCATGTCTGATATGTGTAATATGGAATGGAAAGCGCTTTGAGCATTCGGAAAAGTGCTCTAATATATGTAATGAAACGCAGATTCAAACTAAAGTAACAAACCTGTTTTGAAAATATAAGAAGTAGAAAGTACAGGTATTTGTGTTCAACATGTAAGAAGTAGAAAGTACAGGTATTTGTGTTCAACATGTAAGAAGTAGAAAGTACAGGTATTTGGGTTCAACATGTAAGAAGTAGAAAGTACAGGTATTGTG